GGGTGTGCTGATTGCAGGACTACACTACCATTTACTGTGAACTTTAAGTATCATGTTGCATCAAAGAATAAGCGAAATTTTCTGTAGTCGAATATCCACCATATGTATCAAATTTATCGTGCGTGTTAAAAAACTTCAAATTATTTTGAGCCTTGGTAAGTTCATGTAATTATTAGGTCTAGATCTAGTTCTCTTTCCAAAAAAAATCTCAATGGCAAGGGCTTCTGCACTAGAGACTGTTTTTCTTAAAACGTTGTGTGTGCTCTTTGCTCTACAAAGCACAAGCCAGAAAACTGGACTGAGGTCATAATGTGTAACTTGTATGTAAGGTCTTCTCACATTAAACAGCGTACCTTATTTTGTCACAAAGAGCGCTGTTACGTTTATCGAGTAAACATGTAGTTACGTGCTAAGCTGTTCATCTTTCTCTTTAGACTTGTTTTACATTGGACACAAAAATCACGTTTTATTCTTAAAATATTTGTTCGTTGGCGAGAGTGGAGTCGAGAAATAAATTATTTGTGCTCCCGGCCAGGGCAATGCTACTGACGGAGTTGTCTTTAGGCCTTTCCCCCCCAAAAAAGGGGGGGGGTATTAAAATGTTCTTATGCACAGTAAAATTGTTAATGGGCTGATTTATCAATGGCATGCTCGTACTGTGCCGGAAAAACATAGGGGGAACTGCTGTTTTTTCTTTCCTCATTCTTACTATCGCCATTTTTTCCCTCTATTTCTTTTGTATGTTTGTCACTCTCTTGTGAACTGCTATTTCTGGGGTGTCTTGATAGTCGAAGCAGACCGTATTGTGCTGTTGAGACTAGAGAGGTGAGCAGAGTAAGCCTGATTCCCCGTTTGGACTTCCCTGTTGACATGCACCCCTAGGCGCTCATATGACCTTATGCAGTTGCAAGCGCCGTAAAACCTTAGTAAAACTAAATTAAGCAAAGTTATTTGTGCTTATATTTCTTAGAAATCTCTTAGGACCGAATTTCTCTAAAGTACAATTACAAACACATGTACTTGAAAACCAGCTGTTACGGCATTGTCGACTCAACAAACACGTACAGCAATATCCTATTGAGATATACTTACGTTTACCTTTGAACCAGTTAAGTTTTAAGGCTAGATAAAATACTTGATGACTTTTTGTTAGACCACAATACCTTTTCCTAAATCGCTCTGACTTGTTAAGGTATCGGTTCCGCAGCATCGTCGGTAATCATGCCAGGGTAACGCAGATACCAGACGCTGCTAGTTTGTTCAAGGCTTTTGCCGTCAACATCAAACGCTTTGCTGTTTCTCTCGATCTCCAAGACAATCTTCGGTTTCCAAGACGGCTAACAAGTTGACGACCGGGTTCGAATTTCCCAGGGAAGCCAAGTGTCGCTTTCACAAAATATTTACTTCGTTTTGAGTAAATCAGTGTCTCGGGGATATATTTTCCGTGTGAATTTCTTTATGTTACAGATTTTTGACAATCAAAATTGTACAGCACGGATTAGCTTGTAATTGCTGCAGGGTTAGTGTCTGCCATCTTGTCCTTGATGCTGGGTCTCTCTAGGATCATGTTGACTAAGGCAAGCAGCAACGGTTGCAACAGATTCTTCTTGGCATCCTCCAGGGAACCCTGTGAAGGGTTTGGCCTCTCCAAACATGTGACGGCGATAAGATAACGACGAATGTAGATCGAGAAGCAGCCATGTAAAGTAGCCTTTTTGAAATCCAATATGGCGACCCATTAGTACAAATACGCAATTCAGATTGTTACCATTGGCTTGCTTGACCCCAAAAATACACATTTAGACACCAAAATGAAGTCAATAGCAGCATTAGACCCAGAGATAATCGAAAATGCAGATTTCAAATGGCGGCCATTTTGAAATCCAATATGGCGACCCTTTAGTAAAAATACGCAATGCAGATTGCTACTATTGCATTTCTCGACCCCAAAACATACATTTTGACACCAAAATGAAGTCAGTAGCAGCATTTGACCCAGAGATAATCACAAATGTAGATTTCAAATGGCGGCCATTTTGAAATCCAATATGGCGGCCATTAAGAGAGAAATCCGAGTGGCCCAATATCTGAAAATGATTTCAATATGTT